CCTGGGGCAGGGAGGGTGCAGAGCTCCATGGCCCAAGCTCAGCAGGAGGTGGGACCTCCCAAAGCTGAGATGGGAGGGGGTACGGGGTGCTGGTGGCAGGGGGGCTCAGCCAGTGACGGTGCTCCCCATATCCCCCCGGGACAGGCGACATCATGGGCAATGCTCTGCAGAACCTCGACCGCCTCCTGGCCATGCCCTACGGCTGCGGGGAGCAGAATATGGTGCACTTCGCCCCCAACATCTACATCCAGCAGTACCTGGAGAAGAGCGGGCAGCTGCACCCCGACATCCGCGCCAAGGCGCAGGGCTTCCTGCAGAGCGGTGAGCGTCCCCAGCCCCACCTCTCCCTGTCCCACCCTGCCGGGCTACCGAGGGACACCACTGCCCCATATCCCTCCTCCCTATTTTCTACCTGCTCCTCGGGGTGGGTCTGGGCTCCAGGCTGCCTCTGGGGTCCCCTGGGGGTGTAAAGACCAGCATGTAAAGACTCATCCCCATTTTTTGGGGGTAGGGTATCAGCGAGAGTTGCTCTACAAACACGACGACGGCTCTTACAGCGCCTTCGGGAAGAGCGATCCCAGGGGCAATACCTGGTGAGGGACTGCACGGGGCTCAGGCAGGCTGTGCAGTGGCATCTCTCCGGGGACCGGCCGTCCCAGGGCTCCTCCTGCCACCAAGCGTACCCCAGCCCCAGTCTCCCATCCCTCTGACATCTCTCTGGCTCGTAGGCTGACAGCGTTTGTCCTCAAGTCCTTCGGGCAAGCCAGAGCCTACGTGGCCATCGAGGAGCAGCACATCACGGACGCACTGCGCTGGTTGCAGAAGAAGCAGCAGGAGACGGGCTGCTTCCGCAGCGTGGGGAAGCTCTTCAACAACGCGCTGCAGGTGGGTCGCTGGGGTGGGACATGGGGACATGCAGCTAGAGCCAGGTTGGCCCCAGCACATCCCTGGTGTGTGGTCTAGGCAGTGGGGGAGTCCCTGTGCCGGTGGCACGGCATGGCTGGACCCATCTCCTGCTGTCCCCATCTCCTGCTGTCCCCTTTGCAGGGTGGTGTCTCGGATGAGCTCTCGCTGTCGGCTTATGTCACAGCTGCGATGCTGGAGCTGGGGCTGTCCCCAACGGTGAGGATGACCCCATCTTCCCCGGAGGGGCTGGTGGGGTGGGGATGGGTGCTGGGGCAGGGAGTCTGGCTGTTCCAGGCCACCTCCTAGCCCAACCTGGGTGCAGCTGGTCTCACTGGGCAGAACTGGGGTCTCTGAGCAATGCCCGTGCCCGTGGGCTGGCTCCTGACTCTGCTCCTGTGCCAGAACCCAAAGGTGAGCTCAGCCCTGCAGTGCCTGGAGGCTTCGGCCACAGATGACCCCTACACGCAGGCGCTGCTCGCCTACGTCTTCGGGCTGGCGGGGCGCGGGGAGCAGCAGCGAGCCCGCCTGCAGAGTCTGGCCCAGCACAGCGTCAGCGCAGGTACCGCCCGGTGCAGGCAGTGGCACCTCTGGGCAGTGCCACCCTCTGCTTGGGTCACCCCATCCCATCTGCTTGGGACCCGCGGAGCAGGAGGGCTGAGCTCCCACCTCCTTCTCTCCCAGAGGGGCAGCTCTACTGGCGGAGGGAGGGGGAGGGGCTTCCGCGCCC